CTCCCCCTCCTCCTTCCCCTTCCCCTTCCCCTCTGCCTTCCTCTCCCTCTCTCCCTCTGTCCCTCCCTCTCCTTCTCCTCCTTCTTTGCCTGCATCCTCTTCTTCTTTGTCATCTCCTTCTTCTCCTTCTTCTCCTTCTTCTCCTTCTTCTCCTTCTTCTTCTTCTTCCCCTTCTAGGTTTTCAACTCGGTGTACAGTATATAGGAGGACAATGCCGTATCGGCCCTCAGTGCTCAGAAGGTTGGGAGGATTGTCGGCGGGCCGCAAGGCAAGGGTTAGGCGGAAAGCCCCCTGAGGATGATCGGAGCGCAACCGATCGAAACGCTTCGGGGATTGTGCGCGTGAGCTGAGATGAGTGCGCGCGTGAGCTGAGATGAGTACGCGCGGCTATGTATTGATGAGCTTTGCGCGTGTGTGACTGGGTACACCGGGTCGCGGGGAAAAACGAGTACCCGTGCTGGGGTGGGGTTAAGTATTCATCTTGGGGCTTAAGTTTCACCCCAGTCCACTTAGCCGTTTGGTTGAGTGTTTACCTCTTAACGTGGAGGTCGCGTGTTCGATCCTTGGATCGGTACGGACGGACAGATTGTTGTCTGGAGTGAGAATGCAATGCAATTCTTCTTCTTCCTTTTCCTCTTCCTCTACTTCTTCTTCTTCTACTTCTACTACATCATCCTTTTCTGCGTCCTCTTCTTCTTCGTCTTCCTCATTTGTCTCCTCTCGTTTGTTTTCCTCTTCCCCACGCCGGCTGAGACTGGCCCCTCCTTTATCTTCGTTGATGCTAATCTGCGGGCTTCTTTGTCTTACCACGTCAACAGCCTGCTCTGCCACGTCGACGGCGTTCGTCATTTACGCGCCGACCCCGCCAGATCACTTCTGGATCTGGCTTTCCAGTGGTGACCGATTAGGATCTGCGGGCAGACCCTTACCAAATGCTTGTGGCTTGACAGCCACAAATGTCTGCCTACCTCAATGGTTTATTAGCGTCAATGTTATACTGCTTCCCATTTTGCTACGATTGCTCATACCAGCTTGACGCTGTTGAAAATCAGTTTCTGTACCTCCTGAGGGTAGGGAGTAACTATACTCTACCTCAGTAAAGGGCTTTTGTGTAAAAATGTCTTACAGTTAGCGTTCCATGGTCGCCACCTCCTTCTTATGCATGCACCATGCGACGCCAGGCGAGATGACCTTAATGACCATCCTCATATTTCTGCCTGCATTTTGCACAGACCCAGGCATGATATGGCACTCGTTCGTGCAGCTGCGCGGAACTGTGGGATGGTGGGACGATGATTCAGGCTGTTTTTTTTTTTTTTTTTTTTTGGGACGATGATTCAGGCTATTTTCAACGTAAATGAATTTGCGCGTCCATTGCCGAATCATCCTTTATTCTGGATTCTGGATTATTGACCGACTCTCCTGTGACACCTGTTGGGACAGGGATGCAGTGCGCCTTGGCTGTGGAATTCATCATCTATGCCATCACCATTATCAATCTATCGCGGCCGCCTCCGTCTGTGCCGAAGGGTGTCCACCATTCCCTCATTGTACACATCCCTATCACCCAGATACTGTATTTGTTGCCCCTTTTGTGCGCAAGGACGCTATCAGGACTGCATGACGCCGCACTGTGATGAACGTCCTGCTGTTTTTTTTTTTGACATGTGGACCGCATGTCCTTCCTTTGTCAGGACTGTTTTGATGTGATGGGATGGGATGGTCCATGCTAGCCGTCCTGCTGAATGCTGTGCTGGTGCAGCTCTCCTTGGGTACCCTTGTGAACATCCACCTCATCCTCCTCAGCGTGCCTGTCCTATCTGCCGGGGTGGGGGCTCCTCTTCCTGACTGGTCAATAGAATTAAGCGATCAGGAGCAACACTAATTGTAGGACAGAAAAGAAAGAAAGAGAAAAAAGTACAAGTTCTGGAAAAAAGAAAAAAGAAAAAAACTATATAAAAAAAAAAAACAAGTTGCTGAAGAAAAGAAAAAAGAAAAAAGAAAAAAGAAAATAAGAACATAAGGAAAAAAAAAAAATGTTGAATTTTGTTATGACAGTGGCTACTGGTTTATCTGTGGGATGTGTCATTTGCTTTGTTTGACTGGTAGGACTTCCTCTTCCCTTGTAAGGTCTTTGACTGGATCCCTTTCTCTTTCTCTTGCCTCTGTGAGGTTTGGTTTTCTTCCCCTTTTCTTTCCCTCTTTGCCTATTGGCTGCGTGCAAGTGGGTCCTTGTGACACACGGGGACGGGGGCAGCCAGCGTTCGACCTGTCATCCACGTGGCTGGCCTTGTACGTAAGAGATGATGAACACGCGGAGCTTTCCTTCCTTCCTTCTTTTCTTTTTTTGTTTGTCTTTTTCCGCCTTCGCGCTCCGACTCACAGTGTGACAATATATATTAAATTGGAACTCCACTAGTACAGAAAAAGCACCTTCGTAAAGGAGCTTGCCAGTACCAGCACACGAACACGAACCCACTGCATGTGTGTGTGTGTGTGTGGGGGAGAGAGAGAGAGAGAGAGAGAGAGAGAGAGAGAGAGAGAGAGAGAGAGAGAGAGAGAGAGAGAGAGAGAGAGANTGTGTGTGTGTGTGTGTGTGTGTGTGTGTGAGAGAGAGAGAGAGAGAGAGAGAGAGAGAGAGAGAGAGAGAGAGAGAGAGAGAGAGAGAGATTGGTTCGTTTTCATCTCCATGCGTGCACGGATGATGCGAGATGTTTTTCTGGCTTGATTTTTTTTTTTTTTTTTTTTTTTCATTGTTGTTTTGCTTGTGTTGTACGGTGTCCATCCCCATCCCACTTAACCTGTCTGTCGATTTTTCGACCTTATATATAGTCCGATACTTAAAAAAATAAAATAAAAAATCAGACTCCCTGATGGCGTTCTGTGTTTGACTCTTAACTGGTTGGTGGTTGGATTCACAGGACGCTCTTTGCGAAATTTCGGAGCATGGGTTGGTTATTATTGTTGAAGAGATGAGCTCCCTTCAAGCCAGAGTCTACTTCAGGAAGGAGGTGATATAAATTTTGGGTTTTGAAAGAAAAAAAGAAAAAAAAAAAGAAAAGGAAGGAGGGGAGAGTGAGGGAGAATGGAGGCATAGCCCCCCCAAAAAATGCACCCTGATGATGAGAACTGAAAAAAGAAAAAAAGAACGTATACACGGTATCTTTCGGGTCGGGTACAGTCGTAGTCAGTGTGTGTTGGTTTCGGGGTAAGATGGTAGGGAAAAATAGTTTTTTTTTTTCTTTTTTAAAGAGTTTGTCTTTATAATTGTTTATCTTTCCGGCCTCGTTCAGTTCAGATTGATTTTGCAATATAATTGTTTATCTTTCTCGGCTACCAGAGTGGCCCGGGACCACTGGCCCGGCCGGGCCCAAAAATAATGAATAATAAAGAATTAAAAAATATTAATTTTATTTTTTAATTTTAAATTTGGTGAAGAATTTCGATGTGACCCTGAGGCAAACTTTGTTCAGTTTATTTTTCTGGGTAACATAATTTTTTTTCGGTTTTTTTTTTTTTTTTTGCTAAGACCTTCCCTGGTCCTTGCACGTCCGGGCCACCCGGGAAAATAGGGTGACCCGGGCGGCCCAGCTGGTAGCCTAGTTATCTTCCCCCGCCCCCCCCCACTGCCCACACACACACAAAAAAAAAAAAACGAATTTTCCTGCTCAGACATGGATTCTCATCGCAGTAGCATCGAGGTGCAATCCAATCAGTGGTCGCCTTCCCCCGAATAGAACGCACGGGCATTATTGCCGCATCTGGTCCGGAAGTTGTGCCAAATATGGCTATAATGACCGGGCGTTGAATTCGGGTGAAGACGGTAGTCGTCTTCCCCCGAATAGAACGCACGGTCATTATAGCGGTATTTGGGGCAACTTTTTAGTCCAGATGCAGCGAAATCGACCGTGTGTTTTATTCGGGGGAAGACGGTAGTGTGAGGTTATGTCCTAGAAGAGTCGGCTTGCCATCGACGCACGAGCGCCAGCTGGGAAACAACCTTTTTTTTTTTTTTGGGTAATTAGCAGAAATTTGCTCGCGTACGCACAAGGATAAAGAGATGTTTAGGTTCTTGATTCCAACTCGACTGTGCAATTCAAGAGTTCATGGGTGTACCAACTGGGCTACCGTCTTCCCCCGAACAAAACTCAGCCTCATTTTGGCTGTACCTGGCCGGAAATATGGCTTGTATACATTCACTATCAGGGTGCGTTATGTTCGGGGGAAGACGGTAGGCCCATTGGCCGTCGGCCTTCAACAGCAAAAAAGGTCCCTTGGCCGTCGGCCTGGTGGAGTTCCATCTCTTGCCACTTTTTTTTTTTAAATCAATTTATTTTAGGCTTTTTTTTTTTTAAATCAATTTATTTTAGGCTTTTTTTTCTTTTTTTTTCTTTTTTTTTCTTTTTTGTTGCCACGTGTTTGAAGGAATGACCTTCATTTTCCAACTTTTTTTTTTTACCACCGTCCACATGGCGGGACATAGCATGTTGAGTTTCCCGCCAAGCCGACATGCCCGCCTGCGCTGCATGTGGGCGTCTGCGGGAAATACCATGCCCACCACCGCGGGTAATCGCAGGTTCCAGTTTCCCGCCAACTGCTCCCACCTCCAATTCATCTTGCCGGGGATGTTTCCTCTTCCCGAAAGCAGGGGCGTGGTCCCCACTAGCAAAGAGGATCGGATCGAATGCCTGAATCTGGACGTGTTTGTAAACAGGTGCAGGAAATCGAGATTGAACTGCTTTTCTGCATCTCTGCATAAAACACATCCAGATTCACGAGCTCGATCCTATCCGTTTTGCTAGTGGGACCTCGGCCCAGCAGAGATGGACAAGCAGCAGTTCCCCGCCAAGCCGACTTTCCCTAGAGACTGGGATTGTCCATAGCTACGACAACAACTGTCCTTCGGGATATCCATTACCAAAGATTGGAACGATACACAGAAAGAAGATTAGCATGGCCCCTGAGCAAGGATGACA